TTCAGGTAGCCATCACATGTCGTTTGGATCCCTTCCATGTTCAGGCGTTCTTTTTCAAATGGCTCACATGGCCTGTGATCCTTCGTCATCACTGTCAAGGATCCTCCTTTGTAGGCCAAGGCTCGGCAGTCTCCGAGGTTGGCCACAGCGAGCTCGTGTTCATCTCGCACAGCGATGCAGGCACATACGCCCGAGGACAAGAGATAGTCCGGGACGTCTGCTTCATCTTGCTTCAAATGGCCCAACAACGCTGCATCAGCCTTTTGAAAGGCTTCTTTCATTCTAAGGCCCATATCTGGCCCCTTTTCCTTTGCCAAGAGCTTTGGGAGTGTTTCTTTCACATAGGTCACGGCTTCAGCTCCGCCGTGGCCGTCGTAGACTGCGAAAAAGTTGTCTTGCACGTCAATGGCATCTTCCATGGCTCCGCGGCCATTTTGCATGACGCACCAGCCATGCTGGTCGTCTCCTCCACTTGCATCAGAAGGTAAAGGTTCGACCTCCTTTCCTCGTCCGAGGCACGGGCACACCGCTCCCATGGCTCAGCAAAAAGGGCGTTAAGATCCTCGTTGGGACCTGAGGGCCCCTTTCCGTTTGATCCGACCTTACGACAGCAACCTCCTTCTGAACCACATGCTTCTTTGGATCTTGCTTGACTGCTTCACCTCAGCTGACCGTGTCGGTGTCTGGGTCCTCGCACCTTGGCTGCTGTCGGAGACCCACAGACCGGGACACGTTCACCTCACCGGCGCGGACATCGGAAGATGCAAACAGCATGGAAAGATTGGTCACATCAGTCCCATCCCTTGAGAAGAGCTTGCAGTACGCCCAAAGATCACCAAATGAAAACCAAACAGCATCGGACTCAGCTTCCAAGCCTCTTTGCTGCTTTTCCTCTTCGGCTGAGCTTCAGCCTCGGCAGCTCCTCTCCTTCACCGGCCTGACAGAAGCTTCCGACACCGACTTTGGGGCCTGACTCTCCTGACCAAAACAAAACCCTACCAAATACAAAGCAATTATATGATCTATATATGTTATATTGTGTCCATGTGTTTGTCATGTTAAGGGCTTTTTCATCTTCCCGACTTCCATGTCTTCATATTATGATTTTCCATGTGCTGTGTTGCACTCTTGCAGCGTGGCTGCATGGGGCTGTGGATTTCTGATCCTCTTCCAGCTTTGCTCTTCAAATAACAACCGGTGGGGAGTGTTGCACAGCGGTCCCAGCGGTATAATTTCGACTAATCCATTCGTTTGTTTTCCCTGCAAGGTGTGCACTCCGACTTCGTTCCAAGGATCAATGCCTTTCCTGACCTCACACCCCCGAATTCATCTAATCATGAGATCAACTTGCGTGAGAGAGTGAACCCAGTTGAAGAAACATAAGATAATTATATACATGAGTCCAATGTGTTTCTTGGACGTTTCTTGAGCCATGCGCTCCGGAATGGATCTTGCTTGACGTTGAGGAGTGTCAGTCCACTACCTCACATCTCCAAATCCCTCGCGCCTCATCAGCTCATCGGGCCTCCGTGTATCCCAGAAGGCCTCGAAGACCTCTGGAAGCCAGTCCTCGGTCGCAGAGGCAAACAAAGCCTGAAAACTCTGGGATACGTTTCTCACAGGGGATGCTGGCCATGGCTTTGGGAGCGTTTGCTTCGTTATGCATTAAGATCAAAATGCAATGGAAACACATAGAGATTAGAGGTCTCCTCCAAACGAACAAAATGTTTAGTGCAAAACATCCTCTTCCCACCCTTTCTACCCCACTGAGAACCCCACAATCCAGCCGCATCATAGCAGTCGATCTTTTTGAATGGAGGCCAAGGCCTTATGGTCCAAAGGTGGGACATGCAGGACATACATCATGGACACAGCACCTATCCAGCATGATATTGTTGGCTTGATGAATTCCAGCAACTCCTGTCGCTACTGTCCGATCATTTGACCAAAACGGGCGAAAGCGTCACCCACCCCTTGACGGCAATGAAAACATCAGAAGTCTGCACTTGCGTCTCTTGGTAGATCCATTGGTTTTCCAACATTCCACTCAGTCCAGATGGGATCCGGACTCCTTTCGCCACGCGGTGGTGGGGATCCTGCACAGGACTCAAAACGGCCAGAGGTCCAAGTCAAGAACATCAGGAACCAGGGAGAGTTAGGCCATGTTAGGCCAATTGGTCCTCTACAAGTCAGTTCCTTCCTTCAGGAAAAGCTTCCAATCCCGTCTCGCTCCAGCTCTGCATGGCATCTTCTGCTCTGAACAGAGACCCTGGAGTCGCGGTCCATGTCTTTCGCTCACCAGTCGGCCCTGAATGCGGAAGTCACCGGTCACGCCGTCCTTCAAGAGGACCCATCCAAGGCGCGCACCTCGGGGCGTTGCCACAGAAAGAAGCCCCCTTCAACTTTGTTCACCAGAGACGTTGAAGGAGACTTTGCTGAAGAATAGCACCGTTCCATCTCTTTACTTTTGGGGTCATCGTGATTACCACTACTGCCCTGTCGTGGACTCCCCCCCCCATTCCCACCAACTCATTGAACCTGACCTTACCTCACCCTTCACCAGGCCATTCTTGTTCCAAATACCCACCTTCAGCAAGCAAACGCTACAGCTCACCACCGCACGTGGTCGCGTCGCGTCCAGGGCAGCTCGGCGGGCGTTCGGCAGCTCGCCCAGCTCCTTCAAGGCCAAGGCCTCGCAACACCTCGGTGCCGTCGTGGCGTCGAGGTCCGGGGACGACTCCGTGGAGGAACCGAGTCAAGAATTGCTTGGAGGTCAAGCCACCCTTCTTTTCACACCGTACTGTACTAAAGAGCCCCTGGAACTAGAACGCAGCCTAGCTTATGGAATATGTTCTGCACAGGTGGGTAATTCCAAAAATGGAACATGGAGCACACCAACCCAGAAACACACCCAACAAGTCACTGGACAACTTGAGTTGTTCATGCAAGAAAGATCTGACCGACTTCAACTTCTAGTCGGTCCAGTTGCAATTCTTCCTGCCGTTGCGTGCAATCTTTTGACCTGTTTTCACAGCAGAGTTAATATGACATGTTATGACCTCGAAGCCCATGGAAAGGGCCTCACCCCAGCTGATCTAAAGGCTTCATGAACACGAGCGTGTTCCCTCGCGGGTCTGGGTAAGTCTTCTTCATTCTCGAGGCGGTTGCGATGTGCGGCAACCGGTGTCCACTCCCCTAGGCCCCTGAGAGGACACCTCAAGTGCCCCTGAGAGCTCCCCACATCGCATCCAGGTGCTCAGGCTGCAGTTCCAGGCTCCGCTGCGCCTGAAAGCGGCACGGGTCCCCGGGGAGGGTCCCGGGTGGCAGGAAGGGAGGGAGAGAGGTGGCCAGGAACAAGGGGTCCATGTTGGCCAGGTCATCCCTTTTCTTTGGACCAGATTGATGCATCCAGCTTTGTCGCAGAAGAAGGGGATAGCACAAGCACAATAATGAAAAGGGTCATTTCTTGAGAGGATCCATCGCGCAAACGTTGGGAGGATCCTTGACATGAACTTGGTGATGACCCCCCCAAGATTGAGAGCTTTGGAGCGCCCTGGACCATATTTGTTCAGACAAACCTGGTGTTCCTTCTTCTGTGCACGTGAATATGATGAAAAGAGCAAGTAAACCCAGAAAAGTTCAACAAGGACCTGCCCACAGCATGGCATAATCTCCGGCCTCATGCAAGGCCTTCGACCAATCCTGGCACCTGCAGTGTCAGCATGGTTGTGCCAAAGAAACATGTCCACCATGGATCCCCATAGGCATGGGACATGAATTGCAGGCTGTGGGTCAGTATAGCTACAAAGATATGGGTCAATCAACCATGACCTGAAGATTCGAAAAAGAATACAACTTCCTCACTTATATAATAGTTCTTCAAGCTTCTGCCCACTAAGATAGCTCAACTGCAATACATTCTTCACCAGCACCCCTCCTACTATACAGTATAGTTGGGAGTGAGTTTGAGTGCACAGCCTAGAGTCTATCCCTTGTCTTATCAACTTCACCTTTACTTCTCCAACGTCCTCTCCCCAAAAAAATGCCCACGAGTCAAACAGAATCTTCGGCAGATCCAATCAACCTGGCATGAGGGGTGGAGATGGTGCGAGATGATTGAAATTTCTGGGGGTCTTCAAGCCTCTCTCACCCTCGGTTCGCAGCTTTTCGGCTTTTGGGCTTGCAAGTTCTGGGTGAGACATGGGCCCCTTTCAGGCCCGGGTGGCTCCCTCCAGGGGTCTGGGGTAAATGACAAGGCTGGTTCTGTTTCGAACACAAAGGATTCGCGTAGAAATTCATGATGTCCTGGCCCCCTCCCTGTTCAGTCTCAGGCCCCTACTTTTGAGACCTCCTACCACGCTCATGCAACTCCCTGCGCAACTCACTTGGAATCGTGGCTCTTCAGGAAGGACTCAAGGTGCTGCTGTTGATGCCTTAAATCATCCGAGACACAAAGGCAAATGGACGAAAACTTCGAACAGCAAGCACCAGACCCAAACAAAACAGCCCCCACAAACCGTACCAAACCCGCCCCAAACCACCTCCTATTACCTCCTAGCATTTTTGCCGCAACAAATAAGAACAAAACTCCATCCATCATCCTCAAAACAACCGTTCCTTGCGCTGAGCGGCTTGAGGAAGTCGATCTCCTCCTTCCGCTTCCGCTCATCCACCGCGCGGCGTTCCGCCTCGCGCCGTTCGATGGCCTCGCACTTGTTCTTCAATTCCACCACCCGAGCCTCAGACACCAGCAGCGGAGCGCCCCACACGGGTGGGTCGCACACGTGGGCGAGCAGCTGGTGAGCGACCAAACGGACACAAGAACATCAAGAACCCATGGTGATCCATGGTGGGTGGAGTTGGAGAAGTCTGGATCAAGCGAAGCCGAAGGGCTGAAGCAACTAGGCCGTGCCCACAGGTTCATGCATGAAAGAGCACTAGAATAGCCACTAGAAGGGTGCAGTCTTGCTCTTTTTTGTCCCCGTGCCGCAGCAACATGGTCACCCTTGGACTCCTTGCATTGAACCCTTGGTTTGAAACCTCCAACGAGTCACCCACCTCCAAAAAGAAACATGGTTCTCCTTTGCCGATGGTGATACATCAGCTCCCCCTGACTCCCAGATCCGACTCCAACGGACTCCACCAGTACATTGTCCGATGTACATTCGCTCCCCCCGCGCCTCGCGCTGCTTCTTCTGCTCTTCGTGCTCGGCAATCATCTGCTCGGTCTCGGCCTTGCCCTGCTCGGACTGCAGCTGCTTGCGGGTGCCAAAGGTGACACCTCGTTTTGAGCGAAATCTTCTAACGGGTGGGGAGGGTTCATCTACATGTCAACGTGTTCAACTGCGCAACGGACCAATTCAGTTCATGAATTTCTTGTGGATGGAACAAGCCTACAAGAAACAGAAGAATATCATGAAAGGCTATGCTTAATAGCATTGATGAGCCTATGATGGTTGACCATTGTCCAAGCACAAGGACTGCTCCTCTGTTCCGCTTAGGCCACGACTGCTTTGATAGAGCGTCTGATAGGCCGCAATGGACATGCGGATCTCATCCCTCACCCGCAGCAGCAACAAGCCGCGCTCAGGGCAGTTGATGGTGACCTCGCGGTGGCGGTGGCGGTGGCGGTTTGGTCATGTGGTGCGGTGCTCCAAAGTTCACTGGGGCTGATGAGGCAAGTCCTTCCTGTGGGATTCATCCGTCTTCTGCTCATTCACGCTGCCAAGACCGCGCTTCGGCTCCCAAAACAGTTCGGAAGAAGTCAACAGTCTATCAATCAATCAATCAATCAATCAATCAATCAGTCATCAATCAATCAATCAGTCAATCAGCCAGTCAGTCAGTCAGTCAGTCAGTCAATCCATCTACCCCGCCTGGCGGATGAGCTCATCGAAACACTGGGAGTACAACTCTTCGCGCACGGGGCAGATCCCCGTCTCACGGGCCTTCCGTGGGGGAGGTCTCGAGCATCAACGACACGCAACATCTCACAACATCTCGTAGCTTCTAGCTACTAGTGGCGATGCCCTTGTTACTAGTAGCTTCTTGTTCCTAGTAGTACACAATGCCAGGAGAAACTAGTAGCTTCTAGCTACTAGTCTCATCAGGTCAAATCGATTCACAAGGTCTGACCTACCAGGCGACTGCCTAACCCTTCACCTCGGGGTCCCGTCTCTTGCGGACGTGTGCCTGTCGCTCCATCAGGCGTTGATCCAAGGCCTATGATCGGCACGATTCCAAGGGGCACGAGGGGACATGCCCTTGAAGTCTAGCTAGCATGGACTCATGCACCCTGACAATTGCCTGAAGCAATCGTTTCGTGAGATGGTTCAGTGGTCCGTCTGGCATACGGCAAATGCTGGAAAGGGTGGATGACATGAAGTAGAGAAGAGACTGTAGAAATACGTAGAAATCCAGTACTCACTCAAGGATTGCATGAACCGGACCACCCCAAGAAGCTTTTGAAAAAATAAGAAAAACAAACAATCCAGTAAGCAAGAGGTATTTATACGGTATAAACTCTATATATAAATGCTGATCCTTGGTCGAGCACCCATCGACTTGGTGGAGATCGGCCTCCTGCAGCTGGATCACATCCAGTCGGGTGGCCGCTTGGTTGCTGACCTCGGTGCCAAGCTTCGCTTTGAGGTGCCAAGCATCGCGCAGGATGAGGACGAGGAGGATGGTGGGAAAACAAAACCAATTGGGTGACCATGGTGACGATGATGTTTGTGTGTGTTTTCCCTATTTCTGGGTGAAAATGACCCCATGAGCTCTCCATCTTCCCTACTCAAACAGGTTCTTTCGGGTATCCCTTTTCTGGCACAATCCCTAAATTTATATACGTGGATCATGCCAATCTTGCCATCAGCGACAGAAGTGTGGTAACGGGTTTTCATGCACCCAAGAAACTTTAGGAAGATCTCCCACTCACTGTAAATATATATACTTATGGATGGAAACAACGTCAAACACCGTGCTCGCCTTGGCCTAGAAACAACTCAAAAAATAGCAGCCGGATTGTTTGGTTCCATTCGCTTGCTGTCGTCATAGTCAAAGATATGAGTTAGTAATGAATCAAATCTCTGGTTCAAGGAAGCTGAATGGTCATGGTCAGCCCCCCCTTTCCCTTTTCACCTTCTATATGGCTATATAATTATATACCATTGAACGAGCCCGCGGGGGAGGTGGGCCGACCTAAACCATGCAATTCAGTCCAATCCACTTTTAGGCCGGAAGTCAGACGAGCTCACCCCCAACCACTTTTAAGGCAGATGGACCCCCTTTGGACTGGCGGGCTGTGTTTCTTGAAGACGAGACGATGTCCAGTTCTGCCATTCTGGTTCTGGACCACAACACTTCGCAACCAAACCGCTGATCTGATCGAATCATCCCTATGACTGTGACTTCTTCATCCGCCAAAAAAAAGATAAGTAATACATACGCTGATCCCTTCACCGATCCGATCAACAAAGCAACCATCGGGCACCCACAAAATCCCCATCATGGAGGTCCTAGAGAGCTCGATTGGGTACCATTACACCTATTGTATTTTCTTGTACTCTGTACACGACCGTTTCTTTTCTTAAGTGAACCAACCCCCCGCTGTGGGATCCGCCACGGAGAAGAACCATCGCCACCATGCGGTTTTGGCGGCATATTGCTGGTAGTGCTTCGCCTCTTCGATCCACTCGCCTCGTCGAAGCGTGGCTGGAATGGAATGGAATGGAGAGAAGGGGAGCCTCTCGTTGTTTTAGATCCACAATAGAAACATAAAGAAGCCTTGAGAGCAGTGTGGATCCAGAAATCCCGTTCCTCCTGCTTCACCGCTACCGATCAAAGAAAACACAGTTCCCATACTGCCGAGTTGCTGGTTTCACCGATCCGTTCATGCCCGCAGTGAGGGACCATGTCTTTTCCCATAAGAGTTTGAGGGATCGCAACAAGATGGCATGGCACCTGTAAGAGTGTTGGCCAACACGTTGGCCCTGGGCTATGGAGGAGAAGGAAAGGTTGAACAATCTCACCCAAGCCAAACCAATCCCTCATCACAGCAACGTGGAGGCGTATTGGACAAATAGGCCAGGTAGCCCTTAGGGCCTATTGGGGGATCAAACTGACAAGTGAAAGCTAGCCCCTATGGCATTCGAACCATGCAAGCACATGCATCTCTCTCATCCAAGGAACGGGGTGGCAGCAGCGCATGCAAAACGTCGTCGGTGTTGGGTTTTGATTCGGCTGGCGGCTGCTGCGTCTTGCGAGACAGCTGAGCCTGCAATGGTCTTCAAGATACAATTGTCGTCTGTCTGCCAAAGTTGATACGAGTAGCAGCTGTAGCAGGATCTAGGGAGCTAAAGAAAGGGGGTCCGGATCGGCAACTCACTTGGCCACCGAAAACAGTGTCAAGTTCTTGGATACAAGCAAGACGGGGAAGAAGTTGCGACCCTTTGCAGAAACATTCCGATGTATGCCAGTATGCTTTATGATCTTTACATATCTTTACTCTATTCCCAGCAAAAACCTACAAAAAATCGGGTGAAACCATAGCTTTGCGGCGACCCGATGTTCGTTCGTCCTTTTCGTCGAGTGAGGAGTCCCATCGACTCCGGGTGGGGAGTCCCCGGCCTTCAGCGAGTTGGGCTTCAGCGGCTTGGCACCCTTGCGGCCCAGGGAGTCGGTGGGCGCCGGACCCAGCTCCAAGGGCGGGTCATATTTCACCTGGAGCAAGAGGCGAGGTGATGGGAAGAAGAGAGGGAAGAGAGGGAAGACGGTTTCGATGGGATGAAGACGGAAGATGGAGGTGGGGGGGTGGTTCTTGTTCATAGAGCTGATTGGATGAAGGTGTTTCACCTGGAGAAGCGTTTTCGCTCCAGAAGCTTTAAACTAAAGCGTCCAACAGCGAACAGACCGGGGATTGGACATGAGAGGAGGGGGGGTCCAAGGATCGGTGAGGGCTCAGCATGCTCCGCACAGCTTTTGATGTTTGCATAGTCATAGTCATAGAGTATAATCACAGTACACTCCCTAGAACTATCATGGAAGTGGAGAATGGCGCCTTGGAAGACCATTTTCCTCTAAAACACGGGGGGTTGTCCACTTCCATGTTAGTTGCAGGGAGAGTATATTACAGTACAGTGATTCACTGCTGTGCTGGCTGTGCTGTAAAGCTCCCCGGTCAAACGTCTGGTGAAAATGCGGTCCAAAAGAACAGGCTCGTGGAGCCATTGAAAACGTCGACGGCATACTGTTTGTGGTGGCTTTTTATCGACCCAATGCGCCGACAGCAAGCGTATGCGTCACACCATGATTCAGAATTCCTCGGATTTGCTCGGGCCATCAATCTTTGGCACTTCGTTCGGGGCGATGTGAACGGTGAAAAGGTCTCTGCTGGCGACTCTGTGAAAAAACCTGACACAATCCTCGTCCCACGGTGAATCCCTGGTGGTAAGACAAGCATAGGTATGAAGTGAAAGGCCAACCGTGGCCAGTCCCCGACGCTTCTGGAACCCGTGAAAGGCCATCCTTCTTGCGGCACTCCTAGGGCTCTGGGCCGTTCAGCCCATCGCCTCGGCACCCCAATTCCGTTCAACCCCCCCCCCTGGGCTGCCACACCAAGGAATCTCGAGGCCGGCCAATTGGAATGGACATGGCGGCCTTATCGTGCACACTCACGCGCTCTTCTCGCGCGTGAAAACACAACCTCTGAGCCAAAGGCCACGGCAGGTGGGACGCGGCCACTTTGCACAAACCCTACTGAACCATGGGCAGCTCCCATTTGAGAAGGCAAGAGCCTGAGCATTGCCATTCCCGTTTGACATGACCCAACCTAGCTTGTTCTGGTATGAAAGTGAAGTAGGACTTGAAGTAGGAGGCCCGGCCCTAAACCACCCAAAGAAGGCTTCACCTTCCCCACACCTCGACTGGCAAAACGATCCGGACTCCCACCTCAAATGGACACGCGCTCGCCCAAAGAAGGCTTGGGCGGCCAGTCTCCTTTGTTCCTCCTAGAGTGAACCGGAGGGGCTGAACTCGAAAGAAGGACCAACGAAACTACAAATGAATGCGGCTGTCTGGGACCACGAAGGATCAACAAAAATCTCAGGGACCCTGTGTTGGATGAGACATCCCCTGACTCATGACACGAAAACGTCCGGCATGAGTTCTGAACAGCGAGTCTTCATCGTCCCCCTTACGAAGGGGGCCGGCATCGCTCGTTTGGGAAGCAATCTTAAGCGTCCTTTTCTGAGAAGAATCTATCTTCTGATCCATCTGCTGGAGGGTCCAACCTTCTGGGGTCGGCGCCAGGTCCTGTGGGGATCTAGCTTGGGTCCTGAGTCCTAAGGTATAGGAAAATGAAAAGGTGTTGTGAGTCTTGTGGAATGTCCCCTCACTTTGAGACGTTTCACACCCCCCAAAGCGGAGAGGCCTCTTCCTCTTCTTCCTCCAAGACCTCGCCCAAAACAAACGCTGGCTAGCTGCGGGACCCTGGTCAAGTTGAGCAACTTGAATTTCCTATGGTCCGTCAGGTCCGAAGGTTGAACTCTCAAAACAAACCAATACCAGCCAGCACCTTCAAAGTGACCTCTTTGGAGTCTCTCTTTTTGACCTCTTCAGGGAGTCATGACCTCATGCTGGGGTCTCAAGTTCGGTCACTGAAGGTCCAAGGCCTTACAGTAGACCTTGATGTCGTGTGCATCCCCACCTTCAGCACTGCATCAAAGCCCGCCAGAGCTTCTTTGGCATCGCCCATCATGCTCTCCTGGCGCTTCATGTGTGTCTCAGGTTGTTTTCCACGGGTCACTCCGCCCAGGTGGGTGTTGAGATTATCAACCTTTTGTGTCGGACAGGAGGTGATTTCCCTCGCCAACCACTCCAAACAACTCTGCATCTGTGGACTTCAAACCGGTTTCCCGTACACACGGGTTCCCCGGAGCGACTGTACACGCGGTTCCTGGGAGCGTCTGGGAGCGTGTGTGTGTGTGTGCGTGTGTGTGTGTGTGTGTGTGTGTGTGTTTGTGCGCGCATGCGAATTCTTTGTCTGCATTGGATCTCTGTTGACACATGAACAGTTTCGACCGGTGCACAATGCTCAAAAGGAGATCAGCATGCAAAAGGCCTGCTGCGTCCTCCGTCGAAGAGTTTCCAGTTAGGGTAGAGCGCGTTCACAACGCAGAACACATCCCCCCCCATAACGTCTCTTTTTGGAGTTTGTTTGGATGCAGAATGCATCCCCACCCCATATCCCCCTATGTGTGCACAAATGATCCTGATGATCCCCTGCCCCTTCAAACTTCAAACCCACCAAGTTGCGCAGCACACCGGTCCCACGACCACGCACTCACCATGAAGGCCGACTTTGGACCCTCGCGGAACCTCCCCAAGGGCTCCGAGAAACGCTCCGAAAAGAACACCCTAAACCCTCTGCAGAGTCGGTGCCCCGACTCCAGAGTCGAACACCCCCGCCACCAAGCACCAAGCACCGAAACCGAGGTATGGGACCATTCAACCCCGAAGAACAACGGCCCCCACCCCCTTTGCAGCGGGGCCTCAGCCTTCCTCAATAAGTCAGATGGAGTGACCATGTGTTGGCCCTGCCAGGATCGGCATGGACCGGCTCCCATGTCTATGGGAATGGTATCACATACTTATATGCTTATGGGAGAACGTCGGAGGGTGCGAACGCTTTGCAATCTCCTTGTCGAAGTCTCTTTTCAATGACAAAGTTGCCAAAGGTAGTGAACGGCGCTACTATTGTATCAAATGAGAAATCAAACAGAATAGGAATCAGCCCTCACCTATCCCAACCCAAGTCTTCTGGAGCACCAAGCACACCACGCCAAAATCAACTGAAACAATAGACAACGCACTCCTGGCCTCGGTGCTCACTGGGGCAGCTCGACCCTCAGCATGCCGAAGGCGCTGTGGACAGTGACACACGTCGCAAAACACGAAGCCGAAGTCGTCCTCTTGACCTTCTCAATTCTCAAGGGGAGGGTCTTTCTTGCCAAACATGTCCACCATTTGTCTCTGACCCCTTGTGACCCCAGGTATCACCTCCGGCCCTGCTCCGTTCGGCACGCGCCTTTTCTTTCGCCCGGCCGGCCGTCCGTCCGAACGGACGGGGCGGGTGGGACGTCACGCGGACGCCCCCGCAGCGGGACTCGCCAGGCGGCAGCACGGACTCGCCCGACTCGTGCGCAGGTCTTCACTGAGACGGTGGTCTTGGCAGGTCGAGGAGGTCAAAAGCACCTGCACCGGTGACAGGTTGGACTCCAAGACCGTTTCGGGATGAAGTGCACACCTCCGTCGCTTGAAAGAGTTGTGCGAAATGGGGCAGCGGATCGACATGATCAACTGATCTGATATGGGACATCCAACCCTGCCAGTGAAACCAACAGTCCGGTATTCATGGAGCCCACAGTGAGGGCTTGAATTTCCAGTGGTTCAACTGCTTCTTCATTGCCGGACTGCCCCTCGACCCCTCGACCCTCCAGCCTATGCTGGGTATCCATCACCTTTGGCCTCGGACACAGGCAGCTGGGGGGGTCCGCATCAGCATAAAACCGAACCAAAACGATGCTTGTTTGGACTCGAGACTCGTCAATTGGATCGCAAGGCACTCGACATGTTCGCCAACAGATGAAGCCTGAACTTCTGACCATGATGATGCCGGTCTGCCAAGATTTGGCTGAACATCGCAAGCTTGCTGACCATCCGGCTTTCTGGCGAACCGTCTTCGCCTTTTCCGCCAAGGGGCCTTTGGTTTTCCCTCCTTGCAGCAAATCGCCAGTTCAGTGCGGGATGAAATCCCCTACACATTTCGATGTTCGAACAGGAACAGGGAGGTACATCCACAAGCAGCCTCCAACAGATCAGCATCTGCAACTCATAAGTGCACAAGCCTCCGGAGGAGATGGCTTGCCTTGTTCCCAAAACCTTTTAGAATAAGCAGGGCGGTCAGAAATCAAAACGATCAGTGTAGAGACAAGTATGGGGCCCTTGCCCCCAGCACAACCTTTGTCAACAACAAGTTGGTGACTAAGGTGTTTCTGACTGGACTCATATGTCTGCCATGGTATTGCCAATCTTCACAGACCCCTTCAGGTCCTCATCCACGGTCGTGGCAATACTCAGCTCCTTCAGCCTGGGCATCGCAGGTGCATCTCGGCCTCCCCAGTGCCAATCCCACACCAACCTTGTTGGGCCCGGGCTGTGCGGCAGTGATGGCCGACGGAGTGTTGATCATGGTGTCACGGCCTCGGCAGGAACAGAGCGGCCGAGGACCTGGTTCTCGAAACCTGTACCTGTGCAATTTTAAGGATTGGACAAATTCATGGATCTCTGAACTTCATTTGTGGGAGCGATTTTGCCGGACTCGCTGTTGAGAAGATCTGCCAAGCTGGTGGAGTCAGAGCCTTGAAAACACCTTCCCCTCACTCGTCCAAATTCGCAGAAGCATCCAATCCATAACATCAAACCAGCTGAATCATGTTATACAAGATTTTTCTGGTGAACGGAACAGCTGTTGTTTGTTGGTGGTTCACCTTCTTTCACTCCAGTGTCAATCCAGTGTAAGGTTCATTTTCAGGCGGAACTGTCCTCCCCATCAACCACCTACTGTACTGGTCCGTCATCGCCGCTCTTCGCTTTGCGTTCGCCCCATTCGCCGCGTTCCGTCACCCCGGGCCCATGTTGTTCTTCGGGAAAGCGATGAAGTCGCGGATCGTGCTCTGCGGAACCGGTGGACTTCTGTGGGTGAACGCCGATCACCCACCGCGGAGGTGGAGGTTTGTACGGGTCAACCCGGTTTGGAAGGGCGGACT